GATCAACGCTAAACATATGCGGCTCTGGCGTAGACGGGTATTTTTATTTGAAAAAAAATAATACCTATCGCGTACCTACAGTGTAAGAGTGGGATATTCTCTATTTTGATTCTGTTTTCTTATTTTTTCATGAATCTAATATGATATTATACTATATATTATACTAGAATTGTCGAATACCAAAAATTCAACGAACGTCGTTGGCCCATGTACAACCAAAATTACCTCTTATGTATAAGATACACGTATAGTTTTCGGCACGTCGCTCGGTGTAAAGCATAATATTAGGTAATAATATAATATAGGTGGTCGTGTGTATAACATGCACGTATTCGTTTTTATTCGAGTCTATATATATATGCAAGTTGCGCTTGTGCATATTATATATTAGGTACTAAATTGATATACTTTGGTATATCAAAATAATTATGTCATAAACGCATAATTTGTGCGTAAAAACTCAAAATAAGTCAACTTAAAAACCAGTACTCGGCTAAATTGTATTATTTACAATGGACAAATGTACATTTCGAAAATAGTAAGTAGATACATGATATACTAGGTAATGAACATAATCTGTGATTTGTTGATTTTATTTTATCGACTGCGTGAATAGACTTAAAATAATTGCAGTTTTGTTGCAACGCGTAAAGATTTTTTACATTTAAGGTTTTTTTTTCTAATTTTATAGGTATACGTTTACTGTATTTAAGTTATTAAAAAAAAAAAAAAAAACGCCCAATTACAGTTAAAGTTATTCTTTATTTATTTTTTCTAACAGCATTGGCTTTTGACAAAAAAAATATTAATTTTTTAAATACATTTTTATAATTTTTATCAGCGTATTTATAAATAATAGGTACAGTAGAACTTCGATTATCTGTGTTTGCGATTAACCATGCCCACTCTTCCGAAAATGTATATACATTTATATGTATATATACGTCTTCTTATTTATATTTCTAAATTCTAATTATAATTGAATCAAGATTTTTAAAATTTCATTATTATAAAAAGTCTCGATTAACCGTGATTTTTATTTATCCGTGTGACCCTCTCCCCATCATTACCCCAGATAATCGAGGTTCTACTGTATATTGAGTTACATTTTAATACTTGTACATATTTTGTATATTAATTTCAAATGTTAAATTCTCATTTATCTTATAAATTTATCAAAATTGTTTTAAAGATCATAACATGCACTTAGTTTTCATTAAACGTATTTTATAAATTATAATATTTAAGTTTTACTCAAACTATCATATTATTAACTATTGTTTACACACATTACTCAAATAATTCAATAATCTGTTATAATATTGCTTGTGTTGGTTACTTTTTTAGATTTTATATAAAACCATTTTTTTTCCTGAAATATTTAAATTAAGTTATGTAACAATGAAAAGTGTTCATGCGATCAAGACGAACAAATGTTTTTAGTGTTTATACGTTACGTATGTATAAATACAGAGTATAGGACTCCAGAACCGGTACCAAACGCATTAAATATTTATGACAGGAAATAGAATATATACAGTCTACTTGTACATAATACTTTATTTGTCGACATGATTATACATAAAATGATAAAATATTAATGACATTTTTAGAAGGACAGTTTTATTAAACAATGTACATAGAATTAAATCGGAAAAACAATATGCCACATAATACAAAATATCCATTTAAGTGCTAATGATAAGCACCTATACAACTAAAATAATATTATTAATATAATAAACATTATTCTTTGCGAGTCTTTAATACTTTAATAAGATTTTATACATATTAAATGAATGTAACTTATTTTTATGAATACTTATATTTCATATAAATTATATATTTAAAATAACTACACAAATCAGTGCGTAAAATCATGTAAAATGTAGTATTAAATTCTATTCTGACATCTAAGTATACACTGTATAATGTGATTTTATCATTATTTCCTATAAGGCTATAGTAATATAGTATGGTAGTATTAGTAATCTATAGTGTATTATTACTAGGTACTTCATATAATTGTAGAGGCGCCATGTGGATAATTAGTATATTGTATATAGGTATTTTATTACTTACTTAAATGTAAATTATTACTATTTAGTAATCGTAAAAAAATAATCAGGGAAAAATTCGTTTTCGTTAAATGACTTAAATATAAATATTACTTAGGACAGACTATCAATTAACTTCCAAGAGCCATAGTTGCTGAGGCTTTATCTAATTAAAATAGAAACATAACTATCATTTTTTTTTTTTTTTTTATCCACGTATTTGGAGCAGAGCTCGAGACGTATAGCACTATACTATTATAATATCGTAAATAGTGTCAATAATCTTTTTGATTATTACAAAATAATTCATACGATGTTTTAGTTGGTCAACAACCAATATTATACGACAAATCACTTCTACTCATCATAGCCTTATAAGTTATAACTAGCTTTAAGTTCTTGACGTCAATAAAATCCTATTACAATAGCCGCAATATATTTAGATAATAAATAATATATCAAGTAGATTCGTAGATATACTTATATTATCTTTATAGTTTACAAGTTTACAACATATATTGCATAAAGTATAAGCGTGGGAACTGAGAACCGTACGAGTACCTACCAACAGAAAAAATAACCTATCATAGGTACTATTATCATTCAAATCGTTCACCACGACCTGGTACCTAATAATTTAACAAAGAATAAAATCGAAATCTCCGAAGCCAGGATTAATTCAAATACATTAATATAAATTTGACTTTTACAGTAGGTACATTGAGGATTCCGTAATCGTGTCTTTGACTTGACACATTGCACTTTCGATGAGGTTTCGATAATGATTTAATCGTACATCTTTGCATACATATAAACCTAGCTACCACTACCTATCGCCGTTTGATCGATCTAAACCATAGAGTAATAAGCTATGATCTAAACACTTGATCCTCGTGGAGTGAACGGCCCGTCGCATCGACATACATAATAATAACACATAATATTAGAGGTAAGCCGCGGTAACTACCTATAGCTAAATTTAAATTTTTTACCATCACAAACGATATGCCCAACACTCACTCGAATTCCGGCGATCGAATGATTATACTATTTCGAGATTCAAGATTGCCCGAAAGCCATACTATTCGAGCAATCAGATGATAATGTTGAAACGCGTTTGGATAATTTTTTCTACAACGTATGCGCTTACCTATTTTATCCACATAATTTCATAATGATATTATATATGTAATAACTGGACTGAGCGTCTAGGCAATGATTTAATATTATTTATTTTCCCTTTTCCGTTTTAACTAAACTATAATAGTTAATAAAATACCGCTTGTATGTTTAGCTATGTATAAACGCTAAATTCTACATTGCAGTTCCTTGGGCATTAAAGACTATCTAATTGTACTTACTGAATTGTTGATATATATACTAAGACCTGCACTAAAATAGGTACCTATACCTATGTATATTATACCTTCTTACACACGTAATAACCACAATAAAAATAAAATAATAAATTACAGACAACCGCATAATAAAAATTATAATACCTATACGCAGTGTTTTATGTTTCATTATAAAATGAACTGGACGCCGATGCACGCAGTAATTGAGAACTCAGACATTTATATTTTCGTCAGACAAAAAAACATTTTTATGATCAAAACTCATTGTGGTTTATAGACATTTCTATCAATAATTATACAATATGTATATAGTATTAACATATCATGACTTATAACCCTCCCAATAGTTTTCAGTTAAACAGTATTTTAAAGTACTAAACTAAAATTTTATGTAGTAGTTCTAAAATGGTAAGGTACCTACTTACTTAATGTTTAAAAATAAAAATTGTATGACATTAAAGCCCACTATAAAAATCAAATCTCAAATTCACTTTTGTTAGTTAGTATATAGGCGTAGGCGTGCGCCGACTTGAATTTCAGGGAGTATCTATAATATTTTTGGGCCCATTTCTTAATATTTTTCCTTGAATATAATATCTATCTAAGATAGATTCAATTTTAATTTATGATTTTTACTTTTGTATAACATCTTGCTATTATAATATCATAATTTTTTTATTATTTTCCTATTATAAAATTCACATTCGGGCACCACGCCTGAATTTAGTCCAAAAGAAGGAATCACCAGGTTAAAAATTTAGTTACAATTATAAAATTTGATAATTTTGGGAATAGGTGAAAATTGTCTATACATTTAAGAGATTCATCGTGTCATTATTTTAGTAACACTATTATAAGTTCAAACGGCTCAAAAAAAAAAAAATGGTTCGTGTGAGACCTAAAAGACCAAGCCCACTAAAAAATCGTTTAACTCCCTTAGTCCCTTCTCACAAAAAAAGTTGATTAAAAAGTAACTGGACGTAAAAATGTGCATAAATACACTATAATATTAAATATATTAATCGTATTTTATCAAAACAACTTAGTCCCGCCCCCACACAAAATGTAAACCAATATAGGTTTAATATAACAAACTTTTATATTAATGCATATACCAGGCAATGTTGAATCCAGACAATTTCTCTGAGGGGCTCACTTTTTTTTTCATTGGTGAATGGTGATATATTTTAGTATTATGAGTCATTACAATTTACAATTTAGACATTAGGTGTGATAATCGTAACGAGTATTGTGCATTTGTGCATTCAATAAATAGGTACACTTTATTAAAAGTTGTATTTGTCAGGAGGTGCGAAAAGAAATTTCAGAGGGGTGGGGGGGGCAAATACCCCCTGAAGTATACCTAGATTCAACACCTAACCTAGTATTACTAGGTATCGATAAAGTTAAAGCTAGAAGTGTGGTACGTACCCCTATGGGTCCTAAGATTTGTAACTATATGGTCTACTTGCTAATCTATTAATATACGAAATAGCCACTTGATATTTTTTATTTTCATAAAAATGCAGTTTTTACTGGAATACATGTAAATAGTAAATATTGATAGTTTGTCTTGTCATTTTAGGATTGCGGCGCCATGTTACGCGGACTACAATTCACGTTGGACACGCAGCAAGCCGAAAAGTTGATGCAGAAGATCAAAGTGGGGAAAAAGCATAGGTGTTGGTGTCGCTTCATCACCGCATGCGTGGGTCTGATCATGTTCCTTGTGTCCGTGGTCACGGTGAGCCTCACGCTTACCAGGGGACAAAAAATGTTCGGCTCTCTCTGATGACATCGCATTTCAACTCTCGTCTCTCAAATAACGTAATAACAATAATAATATTACTCATGATACACCTATTGATTATTATTATTATTGTTGTTATATCGTCAAATATAAAATTATTATTATTTATTAATACATTATCATTGTTAATAAATTTTTATATTTTTAGTACGTACATTAAATCACATTGTAGGAACATTTTGTGATATTCGACAAATATACTGTGAAAATAGCATGTTTATCAATTTTATTGTAACTTGTAAATTTTAATTAAAATATTTATATCTATAAAATATATACTGTATTATTTTTATATTATACATAATCATATCACAGCATCTCCTTATTTGTTATTAATAAATCCAAAAAATATATTTAGTATTTTAGCATTAAGCAATATACTTATATATCATCTCCTATCGTATAAATATCCAAGTTATAATAGACCATCAGTTAAAATTAACAATTACTGATGTGTTCATATTTTAAATATTTATTTGTTTCAATATTTAAATAAAAAACTTATTTTTAATTTTGTAAATTTTCAAATTATTTAAAAATATAGTATTTATATAATTTGTGATCATTGATTGTAATAATTTATAGCCATATGGTATTTGTAATAAATGTATGCTCATTAAATACTTGAACTAGATATTTATAATTTAGGAACATTACTAGTATAAAATTTTTGAAGAATTTATATTTGGTATTTGTATACACTATATTATGTTACATATTTCTACATTAATTATTAGTTTATTGTTTATATTATACTTATTAATTAGCTTAAAAATTAATTTATTTTAAATTAATTATAACAATAATAATTTATAAAAAAAAAACATAATAATTTAATGAACATTTAAAAATGTGTCTAAATATAAAATGTAATATTAAATTAATTTATTTTAGATAAAAGCATTGTAATTAATTAAGTGTAGATGAATAAGAATATCAATCACAGTTAAATAAGTACTTAAGATTCTATACATTTCATAAAATTTAAACATAAATTATCATTTTTATACATATAATTAGGGACAAATTAAAAAGTCTATCAAAATATCTTGTTGATTTATAGGTATGTCATTACATATTTGTTCACTGAATGCCAATCCAATGATTTTCAAATTATTTAATGGATATTTTTTTTTATATTCAGTTATGCATCGATCATAATAACCTTTTCCTCGTCCTAATCGTTTGCCATCAGTAGTGAAACCTAAGCCTGGCACTATTATCAAATCTAAACCACCTAAACATCGAACAAAAAGATTTTATTATTTAAAAATATATTGGATATCATTCAAATAAGGTACCTGTTGTCAGTGCGTCCTCACGCAAATCATCATCAGCTGGTTGTGATATATTCCATTTGGTTTTTGGCAAACTATTGAGTTCATCAATTGATTTTATCTTTACCATAAACATTTCAGATTTGTTGTACCTAAAAACCAAATTGTTAACTTTGAAAATACATTAAAGATATTTAAAAAAAATATTGCATACTTTGGAATAAAACATATTTTTCCTGAGATGAAAATGTCTTTAACAATACTATAAGTTTGCACTTCAGAATCCATACTGAGGTATATCGAAACTCTGTTGCTTTTTTTATATACTGAATGAGATAATAACTGAAAATATGACAATCATAGCTTTTTTTAAAATTCAAATTCAAATGATTTAAACAAATAATTTATATAATTATTTACAATTTATGATTTTTAAATAGTTATAAAATGAATAATATATATTATTTATTATTAATCCAATACTTATAAATATTCAACTTGAACATGACAAGCTTAAAATATTAATAATTCAAAGTTATCTTAAATGTAATAATGTAAATTATTAAATACCATTTTTAAATGTGTAAAATAAATTGAGTTTGTTAACATTGTAATAAATAAATCATCAATTGAAATACAAAAAAAAAATAACAAAATTAAATAAGTTCTAAAACATTGTTATAACTAAAAAATGTAAAGCATGTTTATTCTTCGTATAATATAACTTACTTTGTTGGTTATAATTTTTGATTGTTCAGTGATTTCTCTGGCAGTCATAAGTGACAATTTTTTTTTTAAGTCAGAGCGTAAATTTGTTTTAGCAATCTTCACGAGCTCCATTATATGCCCAATAATTAATAAAACTTCAAATTATGAAAACAATAAAATCACCGTTACTAAGATGCTAAGATTAAAAGGGATAGTTACATACTTGATATGAAAATGTGAAATTAACAGTCAATTAAATTTTGTGTTTGTATTCTGTAGTCTATAATAAAAAAAAAAAAAAAATACATAACATAAAGTAAAAATACAGGTCTTGCCTTCAGATAATCACTATAACTAATAAATACTAATATTGTTACAGACAGGTATCTATGCGACAAACATAATAATATTAAGAACTAATAATATATATAGTAAGTGGTTACAGCCGATACAGGTCATAGGGTATAGTAGCTATCATGTATTTGTATAACTATTGAATAATAATTATTTAATTTGATTAAAAATAATATATGAATTATGAATTGCTGATGTGTATAATACCTACATTGGCTAGACTGTAGTGATGAGAGTAATTTATTATTTAAATATTCAATAATAAGCATTTCATAATAGTACAAAATACAGATTACAGAACACGTTAGATACAAGAGTAGGTAACCTACTATAAACAGTTAGACAGTAGGCAATAGGCAATACTAATAAAGTAATAAGTAATAGTAATTACAGTATACATTCTTCAGCAACCTCTACCTCACTAGTTACTTAGACTGTCTTTTGTCGGTAATTTCTACTTTTTGATCAGTAATTAGTTAAAAGTTTAAGGTTTTAGCCTATTATCTACTCTAGTTTTTAAGTCGGAACGGCGGAATCATCAACTCCGTTTACGTCCATTTCCGTATTGATTTTTTATTAATAGTTAATTTGATATTAGCTAAAATGATATTTAATAGAGCAGAAGAAGCAATTGTGATAAATAATAAATCTATATAATAAATTAATTAGCGCGTGGCAACCATTGTAGTTCTTATGTTTTACCTTCTACAGTTCTACGTCCAAAATTAAATACCTATTACCTAGTACCTACCATATACTATCACAGATCTGCGAATCTGGAATTTTTGGTTTGAAGTTGGGACTCCAAATGTTTCATATTCATTTTGTAAACACAGTTTAGGATTTAATGTGATCCAAAATACTATGCAGTATGCGTCCATGCATGTATCACATATTCACATTCATATAATCCTGACGGGCGACGGCATGACATGAGATATGTAGATTTAAAATGCAGTACGTTAGCGCCAAAAACAAAAATACAAACTTTATTTAAGGTTATAAACGCCTTGGTTGTTGACATAGACATGAAGTTACCGACGCGGTTAGTAACAAAATGTTCATAAGTGATAATTGAAACTACAATTTAAGATAATACTATCTTAACCCTGGTTAAGACGCTCGACGAAAGTAGCAGGCTCGCAAAAAGAAATAACGAAAATTCGATAATACCAAAAGTTTAAAGCGTACGAAGTGGTTTGTGACGAATAAAAGTGACAACGGTAAACGTCTAAATAGGTGAACACAAATTAATTTGGGACGGTCCCATCCTTTACACTATTACAGTGATTACACTAACTCCGACTAAACGACGCCTGCAACATTGTTGTTATATTTGTTGTTGTTTTTTCAATTGGTGGTATTGTTGTTGTTACCTATACTCGGAATCATTTGACCACATTCACCTACAGGGTTGTAAAGAACGCTTATCAAGTATTTGAGTAAGTAAAATTTCATTGAGAAAAGTATTGATACTTATATACTTATAATATATAAGTACTAAAAAAAAATTTAAATATTAGACCCACCACTCTCATTACATAACAACCATAATTTTTTCAGGTCATGTCAAGTCAATCGTCGATCAAATCAGACGTAACAAATTGTTCAGCAACAGATAACAATGATCTTATTGATTTAGAACCAACTAAAGATTTCGAATGGACTTTATCACTTCAGAGGTATTTGCTAATAAATATGAGACGTTTAAAGCCTTGTGGAATTAACAAACACCTAAGTATGCTTCTTCTAAAAGAAAAACTTAAAAAACAATTCAATATTGATTTACCAAATATGGTTATATGGGATTATTTGGAAAGTATATGGGATCTCAGATCTGCTGATATTATAGAAAATATAAGTTTTGATACTAGTAAGAAAGATTTTGTTTTACCTGAAGAGTTTGACCAGTTAATTGCCGAAGAAGGAGAAAAAATTAAAAAACTAGAAAATGAAAATTTAAATGATGAAATTAATAAGAAAAAATCATTAAATTGGAGTGGTAAGACAAGATCTAAGTCTAATTCTATGTCCTCTGTAGACTCAAAGGAAGGTCTTAATGAGACGATACCTTCAACACTATCAGAAAGCCCTCCAATTAAAACAAGTGAAGAACGATCTGAAGATGGTCCATGTACAAGAAGATCATTGCGCACAAATGACAAACTAGAAAATAGTAAATCTGATGAAAAAAACAAGTCAAAAGACTTGAAACAACAAAATAAAAAAGTATTAAATCAATCTAAAGATAATATAGAAAAAATTGAAAAAATTTCAAATTTTAGAGGTCGAAAAAGAAAAACTAGAAATGTATCAGAATCGAGTTTTAGTTCTGACAATAGTAAACAACGTAAGAGTTATAAAAATAATTTAACAGATTTAACAATTTCAGATAGCTCGTCTAGGTCGGTAACTCCAGAGATTTTGAGAGGTAAAACATCAAATCGTTCTGTTACACCTGAAACTATAAGTAGAAAATCGAACTTACGTTCTAGTGATGAAGACCAGAAATCAAAACTTGCATTAGAAAAAGCTTGTCAAAAAGTTGGTAATAATGTTGATCAAGTTTCATCAGAAATAAAAACAGAACGTCTTAAAAATGAAAAGCAACCTACACCTTCAGTAGAAACAAAATCCAAAAGTTTAATACAAAGTAAAAATGAAACAAATAATAAAGTTAAAGGTAAAATACGTAATAGAGTAACTTCCGATCTATTAGTTGTTCAACAATCTCCAGATATACAATCATTAGGTAGACGTTCTTGTAGCAACAAAAATTTATAACATTTATAAAACTATAAATTAATTCCATATGAAAGACCTTTATATTAAATCATTTATGTACATTTAATTTTAATTGTTCAATGTAACATATTTAAATATTGCTAACATAATTTTGTAGATATGTTTTATTATCTTTAATATTTTGAATGTGAATTTTTAAATAAAAGTTTTTTAAAGTCAAAGAAAAAAATGTATATTTTCGTTTGTAAATAGTACTTTTTATGAATTAAATAAAGAAAGTTACTAAGAACAGAGACTGACTCAATTGCTTGTATTAGGATAAATATTAAGAGTGATATGTGTTATAATGTAAATTTCGAAAATAAGTTGTAAATAAATGTTAACAATTAACACTTAATTGATAATTATACCATCGTATAGTTTTTATTAAAAACATAAGTAATAGCACTATTCTGTGGTAATCGTATGATAATCGTATGACTAGTATGAACTATCTTTAATAACAAATAATGATAATTGACAAGAACAAGATATTATTATAAAGTTTTTACTTGTTATTTTCTTTTCATCACGTAATTCTCGTATACATATTATGAAGTATTTTAAAGAATTTAAAATGGTTCATACCAATTATAAGAAATGAAATTTAAAATTATAATTACTACTATCACTAATCACATTAGAGTCCTGCTCAGTTGTGCCTGTACAATAAATTAATACTGATTTATCAGTTTAATATTTACAGTGTATACGTCATACCACGGACTAATCTGAGCCTAGAAATATTTTTATAGTAGTTTAAAAAGTTGTATATTTAAATTTATTTATTAATTTTTATAAATATCACACTGCAATTTACAACGTAATACATAGTAAAATAATTAATTAATGATTTATAAAATAAATTTATCGGGAATTTGATTTTTTGATATTTTTCTTTTTATTTAAAGTATTATTTAAAATGCGACGACGAGTAGGAGTTAATGTTGGTCCAATTCGTTTTGAATTTATCAACATTGATCTTTTCTTATATTTTTTAAATATTGGAAATAAATAGTCACATTTTAGGCATCTTTTTTTTCCATTTAATAATAAAGAGCACTTCTTATGACGCCAAATCCCATTATTATTTGTTACTGTTGTAATAGATATTCCTAGATAAATAAAATTTGAAAATCATTGATAAAAACTGAATGTTATAATAATATTAATAATGTAATAAAAATATAAAATACATTGAATTTAT